TGCCAGGCTGCAGCCCTACTGACCAGTGTCTTGTTTGAACTGTAATAAAAATGAACAAAAATTATGCACTTAGGCAGTACCTTCTCCAAAGTCTCAGAGTGCTTTATAAACATCAATAAATGTATCATGCTATCCCTGTGAGATAAAGTATTATACGCATTTTACAGATAGGAAATTGCAGAAAGGGAGTTTAAGTAAGAGTTTAAGGCCAATGTTTCTAAAAGTGTTTTTGAAAATAGTATGGAAATTCCTACATACTAAAATAATTTAAATACTGTTTAGGTTGACCAGAAAGGGTGAGCCAACCTCCATGAAAAATCATGCTCTAACTTAGCTGATTGACTATATTTAAAACCATTTCAAGATCACAGTTCTCAGCACCTTGTGGATGGGTATAACAAAGCACAGGATATGCTCTGTTACTCACAGGGGCATGAGCAGACAGCAAAGCAGTTCAGAGGTGGCTGCACTCCCAGTCAGGCACAACTGCTTGTTCCCTATAAGAACCGGATTCGGAGCAGTGGAACCAGCAGTTTGCTGCTAGCAGTCAAGGGGAGACTATCACCTGCTGGAGCTGCTGCTCACAACACCTTGGAGGTACAGGGAAGGAGCTATAGGGTCGTGGGGGCTCCTGGTTCTGAGACTACACCCTGCTGGGGCTGGATGGTGTGGTGGGACTGCCAGTGTTGGGGCAGTCTCCAGGAAATGTCACACCTGTGCCTCCCCAATGAAGGGCATGTATGGGGTGCCAGAAAGCCTCAGCCCCCACTGCCTTGTGGGTGATCCTGTGGAGGGGAAAGGCTGGGGGAGCACACCCAAAGTCAAAGCAAGAGCCTAGGTTCACTGTGAGTCCTGGGTTGCATTCAGGAGTCAGATGTGAGGCTCCAGGGAGGTGGGGCCCTAAGTCTATAAGGGAGATTGACCATAAGGCTCCTCAGGCAAGGGGATTAAGGGGATTGAGGCCTAGTGTCGGGCGGAGGATTGAGGCCCCATTGTTAGGGCATGAGGGGACCAAGAGGGTCCTGAGCTGGGCTGGAAGCCTGAGGAAAAGGTAGGGGCTGGGAGCCCTGAGTGAGGGGGATTATGAATCCCAGTGTGAGGGCATACGAATCAAGAGTCCCAACATGAGGGACAGAGATTGCAAACCCTAGTGTGGGGGCACGGGAGTGAGAGTCCTGACATGAGGCACTGGTGTGAGGGTCCCAGTGTGAGGGCACAAGAGTGTGGATCCCAGTGTGAGGCACTGGAGTAATATGGATGCCATCTGCGAGGCAGGGGACATGGTATAGGGAAGGTCAGAGTCATGTATATAAGCCCATTGGTATCAGGGCAAGTAAATGGACAGACTCCTGCCTTGTTATCATCTTTCAATTGTATCATCAAAGGCATTGCAGGTGAGGTAGGCAGGCAGTTAGCCCTGAGACAAATGGGCGGGCCAACGATTTGCCCGGCCCCAGGATATCCACTTGTTACAATGGGGCCAAAGGCTGAAAGGGTCCCAGGAGTAGTAATTAGCCACTTAGGCTTTCTTATAGCTGCTCATTGTTAATCCCTATGAAAACCTACCTTGCATATTTTAAACTGCAGTGCTGCTCTAGTATCACCACCAGCTGGATTAAACATCAAATGGATTAAAAGGGTAATTTATATAAAAGATAATCTCTTGCATTAGGTGATAAAAATGATCTTGGACAGAGGCAGATTAAGGTGGGGAGACCCCCTTCCCCCACAGGAGCTGGGCTGCAGGGGGGGAGAGGGACCCTTTCCCCCTCCTAGTGCTGGTGGGGGATGCTGGGTGGACCCCGCTGGGCTGGGGGGCAAATGCCCACCTCTTCTCCCTCCCTCCCTCCTCCCCACCCCTACTACAGCTGAACATACACACACACACACACACACACACACACACACACACAGGTGTGCACGGACACAGGCATGCACACTCTATTCTCACTCTCTGTACATAGACACAGATAGAAACACACTCTCCCTGCCATGAACACAGACAATCACAGATGGAGACACACACACCGACAGACACAGGCATACTTTCCTCCCACAGGGCCTCCCCCCTTCCCGACTCTTGGTCACACACAAGCAACATTTCGCCCCCTGGCCGCAAGCCCCCTGCAGCTCAGTCTAGTGAGCCACCCACCTCCTGTTACACTGACCTGCAGGGAGCTGCTGCCTGGTTGTCCCATGAAGCCACGCAGATGCAGAGGGCCAGGCTCGGCTGGGCTGGAGGTGCCACACTGTGTCTCTGCGAGCAGGCAGCAGCACTGGGAGGGGTGGCTGCAGGGGGCTTAAGATGAATTTTGAGTCCCCAAGGCCCTCCCAGTGCCACTGCCCAGAAAAGTGCAATGCGGCACTCCTGGCCTGGCCCAAGCCTGACCGCACCCCCCCACCACACACACACCAGGTAGGTTGCAGCTCTCCTAGCCCAGCTCAGCCCCTTTCCCCCAGTATAACTGTGATAACTGTCTATAATAAAAGATCTATTGGGGGCTGTCCTTTTTATGAATTTTAAGAGGAACATGGCTGAACTCATTCTTGACAGGCTGAAACTAGGATGAAAAAAAATCATTAGCTGGTCTCTTTGTGAAAATAGGAAAAGACTGTTTTTGATGGGCACATTTAGGTCAAGTTAATCAGAAATAAATGGTTTGACTCTCCTCACTGAAGTCAAAGGCAAAATTTCTATGAATATGAAAAGAAGTTTTCTCAGGCCTATGACTTGTAGTGTAAATCATAGTGATACACCATTTTGTTGAATAGGAATATGTTTGAACTGGAAAGCACAATACAGTTTGCCTACATTTATAGGCATGAATTGTTGCAATATTTGTATACCATAATTAGTTCTGATTAATTTCAATGAACTGGGGAGATGGCTGAATCAACAAGATTCCTTACTGATATTCATATCCTAGGGGGTTTAATCCATACCGTCAGTAGTCTGAAGTAGAAGATAAATTAGGCTCTGTGGTATTTACATTCTTAAGGTCTTTTCACAGCTATTGAACAGGGAAGTCCTGTTTGCACTATACCGTCAAATAGGTCATGTTTCAGAAGCAGGATATCGCACAGGTATAGTTTGCCAGAATCCATCCCCTCTCCCCACAGAACACAGCCACAATCTTATACAGCATGGTCTTTTTCTGGTCACCACCCCATCATGAGAGAGTTGCTTTATATTGGTGAGTGATATAATTTCTAAATGAATGTGTGCTAATTACATATTCTGTACTCAAGTGTGAGCATGTGGGCAGGTATGTGTGCAAGCATGCATTGACTACTTGTATACATATTAATATATAATATCATAACAAAGACCAGTGTCTCTTTAAGTAAGTGGCATTTACTTTCAGCTGCACACCCCCTTGTCCTCCTCAGATCATCTTCTCCATTCACATTTCGCTGTCCTTTCTGTGATTGGAGGGTAATATCAGGTCGGCCTTTTGGCTAAAATCAAGTGACACGGGAGCAGGGGTGGTATCTGAACTCCAAGACCCCTGGGTTAGGCCTGGGGCTTGCATACGGGATGCCTGCCTGGATTTGGGGAGTATCCAAAGTCGCAGATTGATGGGTCTGGGAGGGTGGATACAAGCCCGGTGGCAAAGCCCCACAGACTTGACAATTGAGTTCTACTCAGTCAAATTTTGGAACTTGACTACTGGCTTTCGCCAATTGAGTTTGGAACTGATTTGGCCTTGATGAATATAAATATATATAAAAAAGTAACTTCAGGTTGCAGGTCTCGTCTTTATATTTGCCCATAATACATTGTACACAGCTATAACACTGATCAAATAAATACTAATGCTAATAACCTATCATACTAATTAGCATGTATGTAAGAAATTCCAGCAGGGAGTGGACGTCCCCAATACACAGGGTCAGGATGCTGGGGTCTATAATAGCAGTTTGTGAGGCAGACTCTGGAGGGCTCCAAACATTAAACTTGCTTCAGCGTAAAGAGTCAAAACCGGGGCTCTCGGCCTTTTCAGAGGCAAGTACCCCTCACCAGACTCGGGCACCTCTGGGAAGATGCCAGCTCTTTGCTGTCACTGGATACTACAGAACAATAATAGAGCTGTTTCTGCTGCACACAACTCGGGGAGCCTGCAGCCTGGCTTCGAGGTGTGGGATTCCTCTTTGAATGGTTTAGGGTTGATGGTCGTGGCCGTGTTAGTCTAAGGACATGAGCAGTCTGTGGCTAGGGACAGACATTACACACAAACTGGTATAAGTGATCAGAAACCAGCTCAAATCTGTAACACAACAGAAGGTCAGTGCACATAAACTGCCTTCAAAATGGCTGAAACCTGATAAAACTTGGATGGATGGAGAATCAGACTGAACTGATTTAAGCTACTGAATGAGTTTATTGAAATTCTGTCCCAAACCCCCTCGAGATTCAAGTTAACTCACAGTCCCCCAGTATCCCAGGATCCTTTGCATCTCTCCTGCAACCCCTCCACCCCCCCTTGCAGGGAGGGCAGGCTAGCCTTGGCCTAAGCTGTCTGCTCCTACTGAGCAGGGAAGCACGCTTTCCATCCCTGCCCCAATGTTGCTAGATTTCTAGAATCAGTGAATGTCTGTTCACGCGCTTAGATGGGTTCAATCTGCAGCTTTGACTAACCTGCAGAGATTGAATCGATTCAGTCTCAGGCTTTTTGACTGCCTGTACTTAGCTACAAGGGTCTTCGGGTAAATGTGAAACAACTTTTATTAGACCAATTAATTGTTGGAAACCTGGTTCTGG